GTGCATGCACGTTTTTCTCTGAAGAACCCTTACTGATACAGCAAAGTAGGGGGAACAGGGCTTTTCGTACACTACTAGTAAGAGTATAAATTGAGACAGCCCCATTTGGAGGGCAATATAATGATACCTACCAAATACTGGCCATTGCAGTTCTCAATTTTTACCATTTACCAGCATAGCTGTAGAACAACTAACAGTAAACAATTCAATTGTCTATCAGTAGCCAAGTCGCTAATAATCTGAGGTAGAATGCCAGACAGCAATTATACACTGAATGTCAGTGTCAGGGAAGAACTTAGAGGTGATCTAGCAAGGCCCTCTCTCTTAATGGATGAGGGAACTGGGGGCCTGTGTGTGGGGGGAGGGTGACTTATCCAGATCACATAGAGCTGGGGCTAGGCCGGCCTCCACATACCTCACATGTATCACCTGCATTGTTAGCCTCAAGCTTTGCTTCTTGGGAGAGGTCCTTGCCCAATTTTTTTGCCAGACTCCTCAGAAACTCCACCCACCACATCCAGGTCTTGTGAAAACCCTAGGTAGAGATGCCTCAACTGTGGGGCCCTACAATTCTCCCATCTAAAACTTATTTTGGCTAATAACATTGCATGGAAGGAGCCCAAAGAAAACCCGCAGAAAGTACAGTAAAGCCCAGTCCAGGCTGGGGTGATCCTGCCAGGAGACGCATGGCACCACTTATATCTCTTCTGGCTTGAAGAGGCAATGGCAGGGTCTGGACTTCTGGTCTCTCACCCAAGAGCCTTGCTTACCTTGCCAAAGAGGACCAATCAAGAGCCTGTTCCTTCCAACACTAGTCCCAGGGAAGCTTTGGACACCACCCCTCCTCCCCAAAGATTGCTACTGCGGGACTGGCCCTAGCTTGCACTCCACACTTTTCACTGTTCCTTGTCCACCCTTCCTCTCTCTGGTAGTTGCACTGTGCTGAGCTTCCAGCTGGCCATTCTGACAAGCCCATTTGGATTAGTAAGTGTGCATGGAGTAAGAAGGCAGGGTGTTGGATCCCAGCTCTGCACTGTTTGACCTTAGGTAAGTCACAATTTTATAGGTTAGCCACATCTATAAAATGTCACAAAATCACTACAACGAGCCAATGGAGCTAATTTATGTGAAGGCGCTTTGTAAACCCTAAAGTGCCAGAGAAATGAGGAACTTACTATAGGTAGATTACCCCTCACAGGTGTTTTCACACATCCACAAAGGCCTGCAGAGGAAATTAAAGCATTATCTCAGTGTTTTTCAAATAGCTAACCACCTACATCTATTTAACAAGCTCCCAAAGGATTCTTATGCATGCTGAAACGCTGAAACTACTTGGCAGAAAAGTGATTGTAATGGTGGAATTGGAGGCACCGTGACAGCATGGGGTTGGAGTTCAAGAGGGTTGTTTGGAATGATGGTGGGTGTGGGCTTTATCTGCATGTAGGGTCAGGCTCAAATCTCAGGGGATCTTAATTCTCATCCCCATGCCCTGAGACCAAGAAGGGACGGCAGACATAGTGGTCTATAGTGACAGTGTCCAGAAGCCCCCTTACTTGCATGGAATAAGCAGGCTTGGAGGTGCTAGTCACTCCCAAGGGAGATCAGAAAACACTCCAATTCTTAAAAACAGTACTTTTAAAAAAAAAAGCATTATTTTTGGTTATTTGGAAGTGAGTAAGGAAGGTATATGCCAGCAATAAAGGCAGACACATAGGGTAGGAGCTGCTTTCTCCAAGTAATCACCTCCCCTACCTGGAGGAGGGGTTGAGCTTAGGACTGAAGCCCCATATTGAGCAGGAGAGGAAGGAAGAAAGGGCTTGGTGAGGAACACCTTCCTCCTCTAACCCCAGCATGGCTAAAGCTGGTTCTCGTAAACAGATTCAGAAAGGGGCATGCTCACGTGAAGAGGATGTCTCTCTACTGACCCCTACCTTGACCATGGAAAAGCAAGCCTGGCTCCCACCACAACCCTCTGGCCTACACTGGTTCAACAGGCAGAAGCAGACTGTTCTGGGAGTGCTGGGAAGCAGAGTAATGGGGACTGCCCTGCAAGCCCCTTTCCCTCTCCAAGGCTTGTGAGGAAGGATCAGACTCTGCCCGGTCCCCTATTTCCTAAGGGGTTGGGTTCCCCATGGGACCCCCAGGAATTTTCCAGGCCCTGAATACACAGTCCCCTCCACCTTGCCAAATTCGTACCATCCTTTAGCCTCAACCCATGTCCCGTCTCATCCAGGAAACTTTCTGCAATAAATCCAGCTTGAATATTCCTCCTCCTTGGATGTCCTCCAGCATCTGGCTCAGCACTTCATATTACAACCTCTTTATAATGGAAGATACTTTTGAAGTGAGGAGGCCTTCGAGATGTCTGGTTTAGTTGTCTCAAGTTTATAGATGAGAAAATGTCTGCTTTTTTCACTAATAGTAACTATATAATAATAGCTAACACAGTGAACACTCAGTGTGTGCTGGGCACTTAACATGTATGTCTTAAGTCTCATAATTAAGAGCATTTTATAGTTGAGAGAGCTGAGGCACAGAGACAAAGTAACTTGACCCAAGAGTGCAGAGCAAATAAGGACACGTTCAGGATTTCAACCCAGAAGTCTGGTTCCAGAATTTTCACCTTCTCTCTTGACTTAATATATCTCATGCTGTCTACTACTGTCTGATTTGCTTATCCATGTATGTCTTCTTAAGCGTAGAAATTTTGTCTTATCCTTCCCTAGTAACATCCCCCGCACCTACATGCTCTCCCACCACACAGTGGCTGAGCACACAGTAGGTGCTTCGGAACAGGGGTCCCCAACCCCAGGCTGCAGACCAGTACTGGTTGGTGGCCTGTTAAGAACCAGGCCATACAGCAGAATGTGAGTGGTAGGCAAGCAAGCAAGGCTTCATATGTATTTGCAGCTGCTCCCCAGTGTTAGCATCACTGCCTCAGCTCACCTCAGATCGTCTGGCATTAGATTCTCATAGGAGCACTAGACCCTGGTGCCAAAAAGGTTGGGGGCTTTCGCTTTAGAAGTTGTCCCAAGACTGTTCACTGATAGAGTATGGCACAATTCTCTTGACACCAGGTGGCAGCATTGGCCAAAAGTTCTCTGAGAACTTCAAGTCTAGAGCTGTCCATCAAGTAAAAATTTAAACTTTTATTTCTGGTAGAAATGATAAATACTTTGCATTACAATATCTGGGATTCAAGTTTTCCTCATACTTCATGCTCTCTCTCTGCCCCAGAACCCTACAAACATTTCTGTTTAGAGGGGACAAGGTAGTGCCTGCTCTCGAGGCCAAGTCCCAAATCCGGGTCTGGGGAAGGCACAGGTGGTCTCAGAGCTGGGAGGTCCCCACCTGCCCCAATGTGGACATCGGAGGCCAGTGATAAGAAGAAGGCATAATGATCTGGTATAGAGGCTGTGGCAACCTTCTCAACAGCCTCCTCTCTGGGGCAATGATCCTCACTCCTTGTTGAACAGTTGAAGGTGCAGAAGGGCCAGCTCCTTCCAGATGGTTGGGCATGGGGTTGTGTGTGGGGAGGTGGGTATAACAGGAAAAGACACCTTTTAGGGTCTAAACCTTCAAAGAGTTAAATAGGAGAATCATAGGCCATGATATTTTCATTGCTTGAAAGAGAGCACCTCAGGGGGCGTTGAGGGGAGGGATGCAGTGTGGAGAACCCCATTCTCCTCTTGTCCTCAAGGAAGGCACAGGGTGGGAGTGGGAGCTGCCTTCATGAGTTAACCCCTGCTATGCCACATCTATTTTCACAGTCATGAGTGATGGGGCCAGAGGCTCCAGAATTAGGTGAAGGGAAGGGAAATAAGGCCTCATTGGGGATTGTCACATCCTCTAATGGGCTGGGGGAGGAGTGGTAAGCCCAGAGCAGCCTCCTGGGGCCCACCCCTGTACCCCAGCCTGGCTAGGGATCCTCATCCCAGAGACACAGCTGCCTCTGGGGCACATAGAAGTTGAAGTTGTAGCTCTTCTGGCAGCTGCGGATGCCGCATTTGTAGGGCACTGGCCGGTCATGGCTGTGGCAGTACTTGAGCATGCAGGGGTACCAAGCCAGGTTCAGGCCATAGTGGCAGACGCAGGGCTTCCCTAGGTCCTCTACCTGCCCGCAGTGAGGCAGCAAAGCCTGCTCTGTGTCCTTGGGCAGAGCCTTGAACATGGAGCTGTCCACACCTGGGAGAGAGAGGCAAAAGTCAAGGAGGGGAGAGGAGTGAGGGGCTCCCCTAGCCAGGGGGCAGGGCCATTCCTTGTATGGCTTCTTTAGGCATCCATTACCACTATAAGTATTCTCATCCCTGTCTTACAGATGAGAAAACCAGCATAGAGAAGTTTAACAGTCTGGCTGAGATCACACAGTAAATAGTGAAGTCAGGACTAGAACCCAGGTCTATATGACTTCAAGACCTTTGCTTAGCCATACTGCCACCCTACACTTAAAAACATTACTATACTGGATTGTGATGGAATAGAAGTGTGTGGTGGGGGAATAAGTAGGAAATCAAGGAAAGCTTCTCAAAGGAAATGATATCTGAGTAGGGCCAGGTGAGGAAGGGCTAGCACAAACATACTGGGAAGTCAGGATGGCCAGGGAGTGGGGTAGATGGGAGTGTGCACATGAGAGTTGCTGGGGGAGACAACAGTGACCTAGGCCCTGGCTTGGATCAGTGGTCACAGGAGGGACCAGCCCCTGGGGGACAGTATCAAGCTTGTACCTCAGTTTGGGGTAGAGCCCACTGGGAAGGGGTATGTGTGTGGAGGGTGTGACCACAGCTCTGTTGGGCATTTCTAAATCCAGTGCTACCCTGGGCAGGCATTTCTCTAGTTTGCAGCTAGCTGAGCAGAGGGACCAGAGACCTGGAGTTGGAATGGTGACATCTCCCTGTCCTTTCTACAGAGGATCTGAGGACAGCCCTGGGAAAAGTACTAAGAAGATAGCCCAGCAGTGAGGTCACATGGGCCAGAAAGTCAAAGATCATGCAAAGATGAGAGGAGGCCTCGAGCTTCTTGGGGGAGAGATGCCGGTACCAGGGAAGGTGTGAAGGAAAGGAGAGGAGCTGATTTCTAAAAGGTAGGCAGGTAGGCATGGGTATCTTTGGGCCCCACCCAGACCCTTGTGCCTGTGCCCCCATCACATGACAGAAGGTCCCATCTCCACTCTCACTAAAGTCAGGGATAAGGTGGGAGTTGCCGGGGAATCTCCTTCCACAGGGCCCAGCAGAGTCACAGTTCTGGGTGTCCCTTCCTGGAATGGGTCATTTCACCTGGCTAACTCCTCTCATTGAAGAGCCACACAGGCATCACTTCCCTAATCAATCCTGGCCTAGTTTAGATGTCCCTCTCCTCAACTCTCACATCTCATATCTATCATATTTGATGTGATACAGCAGTGGACAGCACCCCGCTGACCTTGCTGCAGCCAGAACCAGACGTCCTCTTGGCGTGTGTAGATGGCGTCCACGGCCTCGGCACACACATTACGAAGATGGGGGCTTAGTAGGGCCCCCTGGCTGAAGTTGACAGCGATGTCCATGTGCAGGTGCTCCAGGCCCCGTACCTCCTCAGGTTGACGCACTGCCCGGGGATTTTTCTGTGTGGAGTACAAGAGCCACTCCCACATGGTCTCAGAATGTTCCCTGCCCATTTTCCCCGATCAGACAAGCTCAGGCTGGTTATCTTTAGAACCTGGGAGCCATCTGCTTGGTGGTAGTCAAGGGCTGGCTACCCAGCCCACACTCCAACTAGCAGAGAAAGTAATACCCAGAGTGCAGTCAAGCCTTTTCAGCTGGCCACTGTGCTGTCCTCTGTAGCCTGATGGAGAATTCTGATATGTTGTTCTGTGTGTGTGTGGCAGGGGAGGTTGGGGGGGAGACAGGCGGTGAAGGAGGGTGTTAAAAGTAGGCAGGCCAGGCAAGCCGTCCCAGGTTAAATGAGACCTGGGGGACCACACTTTACAGAATTCAGAGAACTGAGTATCTCTGGGAAGGGCGAGCATGAGGGGAGGGGCCTATGGTAGGCCCTGCTGGATAGTTTAGGGAATTAAGATGAGGCTGGGGAGAGGCCCAGGGTCCAGAAAGAGAATGGGAGCAGGTTGACAGGCTGAAGTGCTTTGAACACTGCACTGAACACTTATACACATCATCTCATTTAATTCTTGCTATAACCATTTCTCATTAAGAAAATAGAGGTTTTGAAGGTGTGAGGTTTTATCCAATGTCACTAGGATAATGAGGATGGCTCTGGGTCTGAAGGCAGATCCAACTTCGGAGTCCAAGCCCCTGGCTTTCATCATAAATGGGGAGAAGCTGAGATTAGAGGACTTGAGGAATATAGGAGTTGGGGATTCCGTGCAGATTAGGGATCTGGAGCAATGGGGTAGGATTTGGCCTGGGGCAAAATCACTTCAGGACTATAGGGTGAGAGTGGGGTACAAGGGATGAGGGCGGGTCAGGTGCTGGGTGGGAGATTTACTTTGGGGCCAGTCTAGCTGCAGCAATAGGGGCTCTGGGGCAGAAGCTGGGCCAAGGCGGGCCCAGGGCAGGCACTCACCTGTCGAAGCTTGGCCATGGCCTCACTGGGGATGATCTCATTGTGGTGAAGCCGGGTGACAAAGCAGAGGGCCTGGAACTGACTCTGACCTTTTTCCAGCTCCCCCAAGATCAGGGCCCGGAAGATCTTCACATACTGATGGAAAAGGGCAGAAAGATGGAGGGGAGTGGGACCTTCCCACGAGCCCAGTCAGTGCTTAGCTCAGGCCCTGGAGCAGACACATGCCTACACACTGCCCTGCAATAGACACTTCCCTCCCACTGGTCTAGGAATTTTTAAACTGTGACTTAAAAGAAAGAACATATCCCAGATATTCCAGAGCCTCCTGGAAAACACACATAATGAACTGCTAGAAAGTTTTTCAAAACAGAACTGTTTAGATGTACAGAACCTCATCTCGAAACAAGTAGCATCCCTTTTTGGCACCTGGTTCATTCATAGCTGATACTTCCTCTTGGTGACACCCCTGTGTCACTTTGATTGGGGTGGGTCAGGACCCCTATGACTACCTGGCCAGGACCTCATGGGGGAAAGGCTATACTTTTTACAAGTACAGATTCCAGAGTTTCTCTCTCTGACATTTTTATTCAGTAGGTTTTGGGAAAGGCCTAGAAATTAGAGCTCTTCAAAATGCCCCGCAGAATTCTGATCAGCCAAGCTCCTGGCCACCCTATCTCAGATGGAAGTTGTAGAGGCAGAATGGGGTTAAGGGCAGACGATGCACAAGCTGGCTGCAGCTGTTGCTGCCTTCCAGCCTGAGGGACCTGGGATGGTTCCCCTTTCCCCACAGGGTTACTAATGGCATCGCCAGCAGGCCAAAGGCTCCTTCCTGTTACTGACTCACTGCATGAATGAAGGAGGCAAGAGAGGGGCAGAAGGGCCATGGGATGGTGTCCCCTTCCCAATCAGACTGCTGGAACCCTGTGCTCCAACCCACCTGTACCTGAGATGCCCCCCTGCTCTCACCCATCTCTGCACCTTGCCTAACTGCTCCCAGTGAGAAGTTAGCAGGTCTCAATCAGAAGTGGTCTGAATCTGTCAAAACTCCCCTGCCTAGGAGGTACCCTAGTGACAATGATGGTTCTCTTCTAGGAACTCCAATGGCTCTGCACTGGCACTGAGAGTATAAAGCCCTGTGTAGGTATTCACCTTTCAACATACATATGTCCTCACTTACTAAGAGAGCCTCCATTCAGTGAGTGCTCACTGTATGCCTGCTAGAGTATAAGTGCTCTGAGAATGGGGTTTAGGGTCCACCTTGGGTTCCCAGGACAGGAAGTGAGGGCCCATGTTTCCACCCCAACTCTGTAATGTATTAGCCAGCACCCAGGCATATCTTCCAGCTTCTCTAAGCCATATTTATAAAATGGAGATGATAACGCATTTACCTGGCAGGGTTGTGGTAAAGACTAAATGAGTTATTGTGGAGGGCACAGAAGAATGCCTGCCCAGAGTAAGTGCTCTGTAAGTGCTAGCTGTGGTGATCAGCATCATTGCAGGTAATCGCAAATGTCACAGGTGATCTGAACAAATGAGTGCTGTTATTCCATAAATCTCCATGCACTGAAGTCCTCTGATTTTATTAAGATGTTTCTCTTCCTTTTACTATAAATGATCTCTGGAACAATGAGCTGTAGGAGTGTATGGGGAGATTTTACCACCAATAGTGCGGAAAGGGAAACTGAAGCCCAGCTGGTGAGAAAGGTTCCACTGGGTTCCTTATGATTCCAGACTTGTGGGGAAGGTGAATCAGAGCTTGAGTTAACCCCAGGTTCCTCTCAATAGGAAATCCATTCTTGGGCCACAAGGCTGGAACCTCCTTGCTCCACTAGCCTGGGCTATCCGATTTTCCATTCCCTTGGGTCAGCTAAGGAGAGAATGGAGGCTGGCCATACTTATGTACTTTCTATTCCAGGCTCAATTCCTGCCAGGTGAGATTTGATACCGGACTTCCCTTCTGAGGGTATTATCAGCAATGATCCTTTAAAAGAATCCTATCTGGAATATTCACAGCATCTTCTCCAATACCACAAGAACGTGCAATACCCTACAGTCTTATGGCTGTTGGTAGTCTCATTGTTTGGGTACATCACCTGCCCACCAATAACAGAAAGCATTTATTTGAATTCTTGGACCAGACCGGAGGATGAAAGAAATTTGAGTTTCTCCCCTGCATCTATATTAAATAACAACAGAATGCTAACACAGTAGAAACTGGGGATGAAGAGAGGGAATAAGGATTTCTCATTGAGCTAGGAGATTTCCTCTGCATCTCCTATTTATTTGTGTAGGACAAAGATTTATTGAAGTTTATAACCTAGAAGGGACGAGTCATTGTTACAATGAGTCAAAAAGGATATATTGTCCCTTTTAAAGTCTTTACAACAGGAGGTGGTAACTATGATTACTACCAAGTTTGGAATGGGTAACTTGCTCAAGGTCATGGGACCAAGAGAAAATGTAATGGGAATTCGAACCCAGGCAGTCTGACTCCAAAGTCCGGGCTCTTAACCATAATATTTAATTGCCTCCTAGATCAACTAGTTCAATTCCCTCGATACGCAGCTAAAGAAACTGAAGCTCAGGCCCACAGAGGTAGTGTGGTCTGCCTTCGGCCACAGAGCTTGTGAGTGGCAGAGCTGGGGTGAGATCCCTCTTCCAGCTTTGCCCATCCATCCAGTGGTGGTCTGTGAGTCCTCTGAGACCTGCTGGGGGAATGTGGCAGCTCCCATGTACGGTTCCACATGACTAAGAACAACAGCATCTGACACAAATATCAGAGTAAGATGAGGCAGGACATCCTTCTAACCTGCTGTCTGCCTGTCATGCCGAGTCTCTTTAAACCCTGAATTCTCCAGTCTTCTTAGTCCTGTTTCTCCAGAAAACCTATATTCTCCAAGCTGACCCCTGAGAGGGAATGGGCAGCCCTAGTTTCTGGATCTCTTTGGCTCTACCGTCCTGACAGTTATCCCTACTACTTTTTACTCCCTACACCTCAGACTCACTACTAAGGTTCCAGGGGCCCCTTTATCTCTAGCACAGAAGGGGAGGGGAAGAGGCTCCCCTGCTTCAGGAAACATCTGGCCAGAAGCTGAGCCCAGCCCAGAGGGAAGCCTGGCTTTTTGGCTTCCCCTCACTTTCTGCCCTGGGATGATTTACCTGGATGTGGGCTAGTGCCCAAGACAGGTGGCATAGCTGGGGAAGAGCCAATGGCAGGGGACTGGAAGTAAGCTTCAAAGAACTAGGACTAAGGCTAGGGCTCCCAAGATGGGAGGTTTCTACAAGGCTCCTTTTCCTATGAGTTTTCAGAACCTGCAGCCCACCAAGAGCATGCCACCAGAAAGAAGTGGAATGTAGTAGCAGGGATGAATTCTTGGCCATGCAGAGGGTGTAGAAAATGTGCCATGGAGAGAGAGAGCATCTGCTAAAGTCCTCTGTGGTTTTTAGTAAGGAACAGAGTAGGTACGTTCTAGGAGAGCACAGCAGTTAAGAACAAAGGCTCTGGAGCCAGTACTACCTGCACTCAAACCCTGGTTTTGCTGACACTAGCCACATAACCTTAGGGATTTACTTAATCTCTCTGCACCTTAGTTTCCACATGTGTGAAATGACTTAAACTAATAGTACCTACCTCAAGGGATTATTGAGAGGAGAAACTGAATGAAAGGTTTCAAAACATTGTGAGCTGACCTCTTTAAATTTCTCTGTCATTGTTGCAACCCATGGCCTTGCTCCAGCTGTGATTTATTCTAGACCTGCAGAGGCAGGAGTAAAGATTTTTCTCTTAGAGATGCACCTGAGACCCACAGAGGTCAGGTGACTGCTCTGGGGCTTGCAGATAATCAGCAAATCAGTGGGAAAGCACTGATTAGCATTACCTGGGGAAGGGCCTTCACAGCCATTAGGCTGGGCAGTGGGGTGGGCAAGACTATGGCAAAGACACCTGTCTTCAAGAGGCTCATGGGGAGCCTGACCTCTTACAGCCAAAGTCAGTGCATTATGATAGGCCTAGGGTTAAGTTTTATGCTAAGTGCCATGGAGCAAAAGACGGATGGAGGAATGTTTGTTGTCCCCTTGATGATGAGGCTTGAAGTGGGGGAGGAAGGAAAGGCTGCCCACAGTGAAGGACATTTCAGTGGTCCTTGACAGTCAAAGGATGAGGGGCTTTCTAGCAAAGAGAGAGAAACATTTACAGAAGATAGGAAGGTATGAGGGTCTCAATGCCCCCACCCAATCCATCCCTCCATTCTACTGTCATCTGATTTGCCCAATTCCCTTCAAAGGCTCCTTCTGTCCTCTCCATAAAGTGTACCCTCCAGAGGCTGGCATCCGAATCTCTGCAAATAACTCCTCTTGTACTCCCTGAGCATGGAATCAAAAAGCTGGTGGTTCCTAGAATGAGCGATGCCATGTGTCTTTCATGAGCTGACTCCTCTGCTGGGGATGTCCTGCATGGAGATCTGCCTACCATGCTTCAAGACTCAGTTCAAATGCGTCACCTCTACCTGTCCTCCCAACGCTGCCCTCAACCAACCCTCCAGCAGAGGCTCAACCCCTGACCTCTATAGCACCAATCCCATTGTGTTTGCAAAGATTGCTTTACTTGTCTTTCCTTCCAAACTCAACTCCTTGAAACTGGAATAGTATCTTATTTTCAGTGTATCCCCACCTCTAAAAACACAGGAGGAACTCGATAAGTATCTGATAATGAATAGGCAAAGAAATGAGTGAACAAATAAGAGCATGAAAGAGTTCTGAGAAAAGTGATGGGATGTACATAGGATGGGGAAGGAATATAGGGGAGGGCAATGAGTGGCTGAAAGAAGAGGCTGGCAAGAAGGGCAAAGCACAAGACCAGCCAAGGTGTCTGAGCTTAATCTAATAGATCAATGGATGTCATCAGTGGGTTTTGAGCCTGGATGTGACATGAACAGGTCTGTGGTTTAGAGCTGAATGAGAAACCTTAATAGTGCTGTGCCACTGTGCATATGATCAAAATTCATGATCCAGTGAGGTTCAGCGGGAGACATGACCTTCACAAGTCACACAGCCGCAGGGGCAGAAGCTGAAGCCCAGCTCTCCTGACTCAGTCCAGTGACCTTTCTGCTCTTCCAAGCTTGCCCCTTAACCCTTGT